TTTTTTTTTTTTTTTTTTTTTTTTTTTTTTTTTTTTTTTTTTTTTTTGCAGAGGTAAACAACAGCGGCTAGCGTAAAGCATATCTTAGATGTCACACACTCTTTTTTGTTAATCTTTAATGTCATAAAAATAAATAAATATTATTTTGATTTTTTAATGTCATAAAAATAAATAAATAAATGAAATAAATATTATTTTGATTTCTTTAATATAATATAATTTATCAGGCGTGTTTTTTAAATTGAAAATAGTATTATTGTTTTTTTAATTCAATAAAAGATCACTCCAAACAGAAAAGAAATAAGTATTGTTGGATGATGAAAGTCTCCATTAATTTAAGGAATGATAATGGGTTTATAATCAAAGAATACTCTCTCTATTGGTACGAAGTCTTTTGGGGGAAGCCTAAAGTAGAGCACGAAAGCTTATACTCAAAGTGTGGACAATATCATACAATTGTGGAGAGTCGTGTTCGTCTAACATGGTATCGAGTCATGCCTCAATAGATTGGCAAATCCTCAAATGTCAAACAAAGGACTAAAAAAGAAAGGAGGTGTAGTGTTGGGACAACCATTATACTGAAAGTAGACAATAATATCACACCATTGATTTTCTAACAAATATAACCTTCATTAATTTTCTTTCTCTGTAAAACAAAGGAGGACATAGTAGTAAATAACATTATTTCTTTTAAATTATATTTTCAGATTGTAAAATAAAAGCGTTATTATTTAAAATTTTAGTAGGGCTTCATCTCTATCAGTTGCAGTGTAGGACTGAAACTTTTGTTGGTTTTAATGGCCAGAGATTTGGACGATTCGGGCGATCGGCTTCTTGAAATGGTGTTTGGGCACTGTAACTGTTAGTATTCCGTTATTCATTTCCGCTTTGACCTTATCCACGTCGGCGCTCTCCGGTAGAACAACACGCCGGTAGAATCTTCCGCTGCTTCGTTCCACACGGCGCCAAATGTCGCTTATCTCTTCTTTCTCAGCCCTAATTTCAGTGCTGATACAGAGGCCTCCATTGTCTTCAATCTCCAGTTTGACTTCGTGCTTTTTCATTCCAGGAAGCTCTAGCCTCAACACGTGCGCATCGGCAGTCTCCTTGAAATCAACCTGAGCGTTCATGGCGGAGGAATTAGAAGCCATGGAAGTACGGAAGGGACCGGCGAGGGCGTCTTTCTCGTGGAATTGATCGTAAGAATTGCGATCCTTGATGTAGTAGCGTTCTTTCTGTTCCTCGGGGAATTTGTCGAACGAGCGTCGATCCTCGACGTAGTACCGCCCTTTCCAATCCTCAGCGGACTTGCCGCCTGAGGGGCGATCCTCAACGTAGTAGCGTTCCTTGCGATCAGTAGGGAAGAAGTCGTTGAAACGAATCGACATTTTCTGATCAAATCTTGAGTATAGGAGGAAATTTGTAGTGGAAACACTTACTGATTTGCTTCCAGGTGAAATTCGGATTAGGCGTTGAATTTATAGTTGGAGGAGGAGGATGATTACAGGAAAGTAGGTACGGATTTCTGGAACGGAACTGATTCAATTGTTGGTGGAAGTCGCAATAACCTGGATTATTCTGTGAATTTTTCCTTTTAAATATGTCTCGATCAAGTCAATTCCTGAATCTGTTCTCTCATATTGTTCCGAAGGTGACTTGCAGGACTCCATTTCAGCGTTGATCTCTTGTAATGGATTCCAGATATGTTGGTAGAGAATTTCGCCAATGGCGCCGAATCGGAAGAACATTTGACGCAATGAAATTCTGATAAGAGAACTTCGATTTGTTCGATCATTTCTGTTTTCCTGTTGAGCTCTGCTTCAACTTCAGAATTACAGAAGATGGTTCAGGTTCTTAAATTCATATGGGCCTGGCCATATAGTTTTCGTTGGGCCGATGGGCTGTGAATCTTCCAGGTTTATGTCAAGGCCCATTTTCCTGAATTTCGTGCCTAGTTTACCCTTAAATCTCAAATTTTTAATTTTTAAAGTAAATTTAAATTAATTAAATTAATGACATTCACTAATTTTTCATGAATTAATAAGAATTAATTACAAATCTTTATGGTCTAATTAACTACAGCTAAGAACTTAATTGAGAATTAAAATCTAATTAAACCAACCAAACAGTTTCAGAATTTAAAAGTCAAACAATTGTATCCACTTTCAGACTAAAATAAATGCTGTTAAAAAAAAAAAAATCCAAAATAAATATTTTTGGAATAAAAGAAAAAAGTTGAAAAGCATTTTTTTATATAATTAATAAATAAATGGCATATATTTCAAAATTTGTACCAAAAAGGGCAAAGAGTGAAAGTGTGAAAGTGCAAAAAATAGGGAGAATAAATCGAACTGGCAAAGGACAAAGAAGGAAATAGTGAAAGATTCTCGGGAAACGAGGGAAATACATTTAAAATTTCTCAATAATTTTATATTTTTTAATTTGACAATAATGTCAAATTTGGAGCGTATTAACCGAAATCCATGCTCTTTAATTACTTCAATCAATTATTAATTAAAAAAACGTATTTATTTAATTACTATGGGAACAGCTTTTTTAACATATATATTATATAGTCTTAAATAAATACGATTTATAAAAGATTATTACATAATTAAATTTAAGATAAGAGATTGAAAAAGTGGTGGGGAGGGGAGGAAGGAATAAACTTTAATAATTAAAAGAGATTTTGTTGCTTAAAGAGCGGTATTGAAAGACAAGTGCTCGGCCGTTTGACCGCTTTTTTCCCTCTTGTTCTTACTGAGGCCTTTGGATTTTTTTTTTATTTTTTTTTTTATTTTTTTTATTTTTGGAAAATGTCCTTTTAAATATTACAGACAAATCGCGTGCTAATTTCAATTTCCTTAATTAAATTGCATGCTAATTATATCTTAGTGGGACAGGTTAAGATCATAATTATAATTTAATTTAAAATAAATAAATAAATAAAAAAGAAGAAGAAGAAGAAGAAAAGAACAAATGTTTAGTCCACAAAGCAGAGAGCTGCTGACGTCACCAGTAGGGCCCATTGGGCTTAGGGATTCGTGATAAAGAAATAAGTCGTGTAATGGGTCCCACTGATCCCTGAATGAGTGTGACCGGCGATAGTGGGTGAACTTGTAGCCTAGCGGGTTTCCTTTTCCACCGTTTGATGGATGAAATAAAAGGGAAACGGTGCGTTTCGTTTCTCTCTCTCTCTCTCTCTCTCTCTTTCTTCCACTCTGAAACTTCTTCTCTCTCACTCTCTCTCTCTCTCACTATCAGAGTCCAGAGATGGAGACTTTTTAATTCTGATTATCTGTATTTGTTTTTGTCTCTGCCATTGCTGACTTTTTCTTCTTCTCTCTTCTCCGGCATCGAGCAGAGGAAACGGACGGAAACCGAGAAGAATGGTAAGTTCAATGCCGCTTCAGTTTCTCTCTTTATCTTTCTTTCTTCACTGCTGCTGTAATTCCTTGCTTTGCTTAGAATCCACAGCATATTACCAGATTTTTATTCTTTCTTTTTATTTTTATCTTCTTTCTCTGTTTAACGTTCAGTCGTAATCACGCTTCGGATCTTCATCGGGATCGATGAGTTTCGCGTGATCCTATTCCATATACCTCTTATGAGCCTGCATTTTCCTGGATTTCTGTAGGTATGTTTCTTACTCTTTTCGCCATGCTACATTTGATTCTGCTTTCTTTTTCGTTGAGATCTGTTTTGTTTGGTTGGGGAGGAATTGCAGGCTGAAGGATTGGAATGTTTTGCTTTCTTTTGCGGGTTGGTTTTGGCTTGAGGTTGATTGATAATAGTGACATTCGCCATTTCTCTTATTTCTCTACAAATAGCAATGTTTGCTCACTGACTATGTAAATTATTTCAGGTTTTTTGTCTTTATCTGGAAGAAACTGCAGTCCTCTCTCTCCCTCTCTCTTTTCTCTTTTTTCTTTTCCTTTTCGTCATGTAGATTTTTGTTTACTTCGATTTCTGAAGCTGCTAGACGTTGCTTGGAATCAGTAGTTTGTGTAAGAGTTGGGGAAATCTTTAGATCTGTGAACTTTCCTGTTTTGACTTCAATTCATGTGCTCTATTTTTGTTTAAATCTTAAAAGATTGCTCAATGTGGTAATATAAGGGGTGAACTAGGGGAAAATATGACCAATTTTTTGTTTGATTATCTATAGGTAGATGAGAGAGTTAGGTATGCGAGGATGCTGTTTCTGATAAATAAATATAAAATAACTTGGGAACTGTGGATGTTCACGGTAATAATCATTTTGAAATAACTAAATTTAGAACTACTAGTGCCATTTGGTTTTGCAGCTGAAATTGTAAGTTAGTAAGGCACGGTTGATCATCCTGGTCTTTCTGACATCGTTTAATAATGTACTAGTTTTCAGTGCTTGCTGTAGTATGGGATCCAGCTTGGAGCTCGGAAGGAGTTCAAGCCATCGACATAGCTCAAGGATTGGGAAGGAGGTGGCCGTGTTGCCCCAATCAAAACGGTGTCCATGTCCAACAGGACAAGAGCAGTTAAAGATGAAAGGTTCTGTTCGACCACGTACCGATTTATATTTTGTGTCAACGAAGGGAACCAACATTGCTCGGGAAAAATCTTCTATGTACTGGCAGGGCAAGAGCGTTGAAGGGAGTTCAATTGGAGAAGACGAGCTTGTTAGGCATATGTCGAACCTGCCAGGTTATCTCCTTCGTGCAGAGAGAGGTGAAAATCTCCAAGGGAAGGCTTTGAATGTTGGGGTTCTAGATTGGACGCGACTCGAGAATTGGAAACACAAACAGACGCGTTGTCCAACCAAAGGTAAAGATGATGCAGTGTGCAGTGGGAGTAATTTATCATTAAAACAGACGACTGGACTGCCTACTTTCCCTCGTGTAACTCACAGTGAAAGATCAGATAAATCACACTTTTCACTTCGGTCTGGTTTGATCCCATCACTTAAGGAGGAGCGTTCTCATTGTGTCACCTCTGTCCGGAATGCCAGTCGTTCCCTAGATTTTGATAGTGTTTCAAAGAGTTCAATCAAGGGGGGGCAAAGAATACAAAGGACTTGTACATCATCCTCATCGGGGGGAAATGATTCAAACATGGTGTATGAAAGAGAAAGGACAAAGCGTTCTGATCGGAAGATGAGTTCAGAAATGGTGGATTTTTCCTCTCCCATAAGACATTCAGGAGTGTCACCTTGTCCTAAAAGTACACATGTTTTGGGTGGCAAAACAAATCATAGGAAAGAGAAGCCCATTGGAACAAATATCCAGAAAAAATCAGACGAGAGGATGGCTTTAGGAATAGGAGAGAGACCATCAAAATCGACTTTTGAGACATCATCTGGTTTGATGAACAATAGTATTGAGAAGCCCGTTGAGACAAATATCCAGAGAAAAGAAGCAAATGAGAAAATGGTTTTAGGAAGAGGAGAGATGCCATCAAAATCGAGTTATGACATATCACTTGCTTCGAAGGATCATATTAATGCTGAAAATTATGGAACAAAGAAGAGGGAGGGGAAGAAGTGCACAGATGCTGATCTCCCTTACAATTATTTCAATTACCAGCAAGATGTCAATCCCCTACTTAAACCGAAGCCAAAGGATTTAGACGAACGATTTCTGCCCTTCAATTCCAGAACATCATTTGATGAGAACATGACAGATGTGAATTCGTGTACTTATTCAGAGATATTTTCTCCAGAGGATATTCTCTCGTCTGAATGTGGTTCAGACATTCCATACTCATGTCCGTTGCCTTCTTTAGCTGACGTTGAACCCATGAGGGGCAGAATGCAAGATTCTATGGTCTGTGATACTAGTGCAGAACTTTCATGTTCTTCATCCCAAGTTCCCCCTTACTCAAATCAGAAGCCAAGTTTAAGTCCTGGAGGTAAAAGAATAGAAAAGGGGTCCCCAGTTATTAAGCCTAACCTTTCCGACGACCTTGTTGATACTCTTGAGAGATCGGATGATAAAACCCCTGATTCAGGAGCTAGAAAAGGTAGGCATCCTTCACCAATTCGACGTTTGAGCTTCAGCTTAGGACGGATGGGGAGAAGTTTCAGTTTTAAGGAGAGCTCGACGGTACCACAGTTAAGTTCCGCGCACACTATTCCAAAATCTGGTCCAGTGATTTCTGAAAATGCTGGTTGCTCAGACAATTCAGATAGAAAGAAGGTAAATGGACATAACAGAACTAGGTCTAGCCCTTTAAGAAGACTGATAGAGCCAATACTGAAGCATAAATCCTCAAATTCTCACCATCCTATTGAAGGAAACGTCAACTCAGTAAGCCTTTGGCCAACTGGTCTTGGCAGCACTCACCAAAAGAAGCATAATGAGTCCCCAATGCAAGCCCTCTTACAGTTTACGATGAAGAATGGTTTTCCCTTGTTTAAATTATTGGTGGATAACAACAGAAATATTCTTGCAGCCACTGCTAAAGATTTAACCCCGTCTGGGAAGAATGAATCAGGGCAGAACTATACATTCTACCTAGTTAATGAAATAAAAAGAAAGACCGGTGGTTGGATACGACCAGGGCATAGAGATAGAAGTTATGGCTATGCCTACAATGTCATTGGGCAGATGAAAGTGAATTCTGATTGTAAATCGACTGAACACAACAATGGTAAATATATAATAAGAGAATCTGTACTGTTTGGTGTTGAGATGAGACCGGGAGATCGTGAATCAGCAATCATAGTGAAAAACAGAGAACTTGCAGCCATTGTTCTAAAGATTCCTACCGAAAACTCGAAACATGATGGGCGACAAAGTGGTAACGTTCTGATAGAGAGCTGCATGAAGTCTTTGTCTGAGGATAATGCTGTAATAATACTTCCGGGTGCTGTTCATGGATCACCAAGCAGCGGAGAGCCTTCGCCATTGATCAATAGATGGAGATCTGGTGGAGTTTGTGACTGTGGTGGTTGGGACGTTGGCTGCAAACTGCGTATACTTTCCATTCCAGACAAACTAATTACATCCAAGGCGTGTCCGATCACCAAATGCCTCGAACTTCATGTGCAGGTAAAACTTAAGAATTGATTATGAACACTTTATTGACTTTCATCGTTTTCATCAATTAATATCCTGGCTGTCCATTTTGTTTCAGGGAGACGAAGAAGATAAACCCGTGTTCAGTATGACACCCTTAAAGGGAGGGTTCTTTGAAGTTCGTTTCGATTCATCGATCTCTATGTTACAGGCATTTTTCATCTGTGTTGCAGTTTTAAATGGGCAGAAACCAGAAGATCCCTCAGAAGCAAGCAAGTTTGCACCTGAGGAAAAAATGATGAAGTTTCCCAATTCTACTGGAATTGACACAGTCCGTGAAAAACAGCTTGCTAGCATTAGATATGCCTCAAACCCGCCTCTCTCTCCCGTTGGAAGGGTATAACTAGTCTGCTCTTTGTTACTACCAAGCAACTGAAGATTCTTCCTTTGCAGTGGAGCTGAATATTGTCCCTTCTTTACCGTTCATCCTCCATTTTGAATAGTCTGTAGTGCCTTGGACAAGCGACCAAGTAATTTTGCGCTACCATCCTTGTATAAAGAAAATAACATCTGAGCATATATAGAGTGGAGATATTAGACATTGTTACACAACTTTTTCCTTCCCTAAATTACAAGTTTAGTTTCTTAACATATAGTCTGGATTGGTCGGTCGATTTAAAATTATGGCAAGCGCAATGACAACGCGAACTGAGACATGAATCTTCTTCAAGCATTTGAATGTTTCTATATTACAAATCTATAGGTGAGGCATGGTGAATACAGATGAACCATTGACCGTTAATTCTCTCAAACACGTTGGTAACAAACTGTCCCCCCCAACTGCTACCTTTCGTCTTCACCAATTCCACACATGTAACATATCCAACATCCCCTCTAGCATGAACTTCAACATCCTTGAGCTGAATCTCCAGTGGGAACTCATAATTTGCCCATACATACTCCCAACTGGTTATAACGTTGTCGTATCCCGATATCCCCCTCATGCCTGGGTGCACGCAGCAGACGCTGTCTCCTCGTGCCCAAAGAGTTTGCATTGCTGCAAGATCCCCGTTCCGAAACGATTCGTAGAACTTAGCATTGGCTGCAAATACTGAAGCTTTGCTGTCCTCTTGAAGAGCTTTCAAGGTATCTCTGATCTCTGCAGCTCTGGCGTAGTCTTCATCTGCAATGGCATTTTGCAGGTCCTGCTTCAAGGCTTCTGCATCGAGTGTAATGCTTTCACCGCTCGAATTCTCGGCTTTCAGTTGACAAGGTCGAAATGATAGCATCCTACTAGATTGTTTACAGGGCCCTGCGCTAGATATTACCAAAATGCTGATTTACTGACGAAATTGGAGCAAGATTCAAAGTTCAATTATACAAAATTCTTTGTATATCTGTATAAGTCTATCCATTCTTATATCAGAGATACATTGCACTAGCTCGAAAATGCATATTTCACAAACGCAGTAGATCAGAGCTCATGGAAATGGAAAAAATTCGATGAAACTTACTGAAATTTCCAATTGTTGAACCCAAACAACGAGGAATAGAAGGAGAAACAAATCCGTAGCCTCCGATAGATGCTTTAACCAAGCCAATATCATATTGCTTAGGGAGAGCTGAAGGAACATGATAAAAAACCTCACAACTCTGGGAACAACGCACGCTCTTCCGATTGCTAATAAAGGTAACATAACCCTAGAAAATCACAACATCACCGAACTATTTCAAAATTGACATCCAGATCCAGATAACGCTTATAAAATAAAAATTAAACCGAGAGAATATTCTTTACAATGAAGAACACATATAAATCAATTACAGAAGATAAAGCTAATGCACTTGAAATAACATCAATGATGAAGAGTAGAAAGAGAAGAACAAAATAAATTCATATTAGATCAAAGAAGCGAAGCAGTACTCACATTGCAGCACAAACTAGATGTATGGAGCGCCATGCTCGAGGGAACCTGCAGCATACAAGGTTCTTAACAGCTGAGAATCACGAAAGAGATCACGTTTCAGGGTCCGAGAGTCAGCAACGAAGATAAAATGAGTTCAGGAGCTGTAGAGGAAGTGGAATGGATCTGGACTGGACCTTTGATGGTGCTGATGAGGGCAGTTTAGGAAACTTGAGAAAAGAAAAGATGGGCTCAATTGGAATAGGCCCATAAATTAGAACCTGGGCTTTCTGATATTCAATTAGTTGGGCCCAATATCATCTGGTGGGCCTTTTCTTGGGCTCGTAACCGTCCCAATGGAGGGAAGCTACATGAGATAATTGTTAAAAGAAGAATTTGAAATTTGAAAATAAAATTTAAAAAGCTCATATTGTTGTTTACGAAAATGACATTTATGTGCATAAAAAACATTATCACTTAATGCTACTTGCAAAATTCTAAAAAGCATGATCATTGTCGCAAGAAAATAATACACACCGAGCGATGTGCATAAAAAAATAATTTCAAAATGATATTAGAGCCAGGCACCGAGCTATGTGCCATGAACTCTTATAAGAATGTTTTAAAGAAAGGTTTCCACACTTTTATAAAAACATGAGGTGACGTGCGATCTCACATTTCACCTCCTTTGGTGTCAGCGTCCTATCGTTAGTAGATATTGTCCGTTTTAACTCGTTATATATTGATGTTAGCTTCAAGGTTTTAAAATGCATCTACTAAGGAGAGATTTATATATCGTTAATAAGAAATGTTTCGTTCTTCTCTTAAGCGGACGTGGTATCTGACCCAATATCGGGTCGAACCAAAACTTACCAAAAATTAAATCCTGTTTTAATTGGTTTAGGTTTTGATTTTGTGGCTGTGATTCTTGTTCGCCCCTTCAGCTCACCTCACCCACCCTACACAATTATGGGGCTTCTGCCTACTTACAAAAAGCCACCCATTAAATGAAATCTTTTTACATTTTTTTTTTCCTTCATTTAATATTTAAATTTTAGTCTTTAAAAAAAAATATATATTTGAAAACGTATTTATTTGTTTATTAAGTAAAAAGAAACATGGGCCCATGATATAATCCCATCTCCACGCTGGCTGAAGCTTTCGTGGGCTCCAACTTTCAAACCTTCATTTTCCATCCAATTTCATTAATGCGTTTAAATCTCTTGTAATTTAGACGTCATAATGAACCATGAAGCATAGTTAATTTAATGCGACATTAGGGATATCATGAAAAATTGATACTTTATTGCAAGTCAAGCAACATATTTAATCAAAATATGTTTGATAATTTGGGAAAAATGAATAGAAATTTGGGAATAATTCATTATTATGTAACCCCAAACTTAGGGGGGATGAAGATAATAGTGTCACGTTGAATGTGCCACCAAAAGCAATTAAGTTCTCCCTTTTCTCAAAAGACAGAACTTTGTGGGAGAATATAATATATGCTTCCATTTTGATTATTGATGATGATAATTATTTAGGGTTTTTTTTTTTTTTAAGAAATAAATTAAAGAAGAATTGTAGAAGTGCCCCTAAATTTGGGTTTTAAATTTGAGGGATCCCCCAGATCGTGGGTTATTTAATTTTGTTCAGCGGAGAAATGGAAGTAGTGGAAGAGGTCAGACCCAAAACGGCAAATCTTTCATATTCTTTGTTCTTGTAGTAACAGAGCAGCCTTTCCCTTTACCCTCTTCTTCTTCGATCAATTTCTCAGCATCTTCCAGAGAAACAATCCCTCTGCAACACTTACAGATACTAACAATCCAAAGGGTCTCTTTCGTTTTCGATTCTCTTTTTTCCTCGTGTTGTGTTGTTGGTTAATTTCTCTTTGATCGCTTCCCCTTTGATTCTCCATTGCAATTGCGGACTGGGGTGCTTCAGTTTGAACTGGATCTTCTTTTTGAATCTGGGTTTTCCCGAGGCGGCATTTGGGTTTGATTTTTCCCCATTTTGACCGTAATTTTGTTTGAATTTGGGGGTCTGATTTCATTTTTTGAGGGATTTCTTTTCCTGGGTTGAGATTGGTTTTACGGATTATTGGCAACATATTGAAGTGCGCGATGTTGTTCTTCATAGTTTGGCTTTGAAGTAATATGGAAGTGGTTGTTACGCGCATTCAAGATGAATCTTTACATTGGTCGCGAAGCATCGAAGGTTGGTTGGTTGGTTGGTTGGTTTTCTTAATACAAATTTATGAATCTCTCTACCTCTGTTCTTGCTTTCTAAATGCTATGTTCATCTTTTTCATGCGTTGTTCTTCCTGGTGAGAAGCTATGGAAAAGATTCTGCGCAGAGATTAGTACGGAGATCAGCCTTCTGATTGAGAATTGGAAGTACCTTCTTGGTGGGCTTATCTTTCAGGTATTCGTTTCCATCCATTTCTATGAATAATCTTCGTAATAAAGCCATTTTACTTTTTATTCTTCTCCTTTGAAAATTGTTGTTCACCTTGTTTGTGGGCCCTCGCCCACTCATCTCCTTCCCCATGGAAGGCTTATTCGCTAAGATCAACATTAAAAGAATTAGGAGAAGACCAGATCCTTTATATGGATGCGAGTTTTTGGAGATATTGGCTTGGTTTACCCACCCCTTTCCTTTTTAATTCGAATTGATTTAATGCTTTGATGTATCTACATGATTTGTTTCTCATGCAACCGAGCATTGGAACCGGTGATGTTTGAACACGTAACTTGTCTCATTTTTTAAAGTTGAATAAAGTTTCCCATCTGATATACATCGAGTAAATCCAAAGCAGAGGTGACAACTGAACTTTATTTTTCTTTTGCAAATAGAACCTTTTTTTAATCAATGACTGAAATATGTGGTTGCCTTTTATGCATAATTCTAGTTGTTTTGTGGAACATCCAAAGTTCTATGGTATTTGGTATATTTCTTTTTATGTTTGGAGGTAGAATTAGCTGATGCTTTGTCCATGGTTCAGAATTGTAATAAATAGCTAACTGGTTTAAGCCGTTGTGTTGCCTTTTACTTATAGTTATGTAATGTTGCTTTTAAATCTTCTCTCATTTTACTTTCAAACCCCGTTTTCTAAAACCTCCTTCTCAAACGGGGCTAGAGGCTTGAGTATACGTTGTCCAGCCGTAGGCGACACAATCCACACTCCGCTGCCAAGAAAAGTGCGATTGTGACAAGACCGATACATTATTCTAATTCTAGGATCTTAATACTTGGTCATCTCAGTGATATGATTTTTATCATTGTTGTCTTCTCATTTATGTAATCTTTCTGCTTCTTTCTTCTCATCAGTACATACATGGAGTTGCTGCTCATGGCGTTCATTACATACATCGGCCAGGTCCAATTCTTCAGGATGTCGGGTTCTTCCTTCTCCCTGTCAGTATTGATCTTTCTCATCCCTAAACCTTTTCCCATCCTTATTTTCTTCTACTACTATTATCATTCTTATTTACTATTGTTTAAGTACATGAGTTTTGATATGTAGGAGTTAGGACAAGACAAAGCTTACCTCAGTGAGACTCTTTTCACATTCATATTTTTATCCTTTGTTGCGGTAAGTGATATGTTCTTTATATTCTTATTTAGTTTCTACTGCTAACATTGCATAATCCTTCTCTCTTTGCTGAGCAATTGTGATGAATGTCCTTGGAAATTCAAGTCTCTTACCAATGGAGTTTGGAATCAATTTTCCAGTCCAAATACTCCATTTGCAGAAAGGAAATTCTGATGCATTGTTTTAGCATTGTTTATTTCCCTACTTCTGTTAGTGATGGATAGGCCTTTCTTGTTCGTCTTCGATTAAGTACGATGTCTTGAACAAGTTAATATACTCATCACTCTGAGCTAAGGGTTTCATCAGAGATTTTGTACTAATAGAATCTTTGTAATAAAATAATTGCAGTGGTCTTTCCACCCTTTTATTCTCAAGAGCAAAAAGGTGTATACAGTTCTTTTATGGTGCAGGGTTCTAGCATTTTTAGTTGTGAGTATTCATTTATTTATCATACCCAATGTGTTGTTTGGTTATCTTACTTTAAAAACATTACAAATTTTTGCATCCCCTAATGCTGGTTGAATCTGTTTTCATCAGGCTTGTCAAATTCTTCGTATCTTAACATTCTATTCCACACAGCTGCCTGGTCCAAACTATCATTGTCGTGAGGTATTTGTCTTGAAAAAGTGTGTTCTATATGGTTTGGTTTCCTTTGCAAGTCACATACTAATTGTTCTTTGTTCTTCTGTGTTGTTCACTTTCCTTTCTATGAGGGATAATTCCTAAATCTTTACTCTTAAATTTGTTCAATGATTGTTTGAACGGGATAATCAACCGACTCTGGCTGCATTATACAGGGTTCAAGACTTGCCACATTGCCTCCTCCTGATAATGCCTATGAAGTTCTTTTGATGAATTGTAAGCATCTCCATAGTCTATTGCACATCAAACTTTTGCTTCATGGTCAATAGTGTTCATATTCTGCCTTTTTGTCTTCCCTTCGAATCTGAACATTTTTACGAGTAAAGACTTTTCGGGTTCAATGCAGTTAGGGGAGTACTATATGGCTGTGGTGATTTGATTTTTTCATCACACATGATCTTCACTCTTGTTTTTGTGCGGAGTTATCAGAAATATGGCACACAAAGGTATATTTATCCATGGTTAATACCCTTCAGTCTTGGTTGGAATGTGAATCAGTATATTGCGCCCATGCATAGCTTGTAATGTTGCATGCAGACCAATTAATTTTGTTCCTTACTACAGGTTTATAAAGCATTTGGCATGGTTGTTTGCTGTGATTCAGAGTTTGTTGATTATAGCATCTCGCAAACATTACACCGTCGACGTTGTGGTTGCATGGTAAGACTGATTTGTTCTTGTTCAGATCTTACTTTCTTTATCACAAACCGGTCACTTCTCTGTAGGTATACTGTTAATTTGGTGGTATTTTTCGTCGACAAGAATCTGCCAGGTTAGTTTTTGTTTATCGTTGAGTTATCGATGTCCTGATGAAGCATCTGTAGAAAGTTAAATCTCATGTATCAAGGTTTTCTGTGGCAGAGTTGCCTGATCGAACAAATGGGGCAGCATTGTTACCATTGAGCACCAAAGAGAGAGATGCGAAGAGCCGAGATGAGAGTCACAAGCTGTTGAATGGGAACTCTGTAGACCCCACTGATAGGGTATATGATGAATAGTTGTTTTCTCTTTTGGAGTTGGGATTCTAAAACCACTCTTCTTTATCTGACTGCATCTAACATGTGCATTGTTCCTTGTTCAGAGGCAGAGGACTCAAGTAAATGGCAAGATTCCTGAAGATGGGAACGCTGTCCATGTTAATACCACACCATAAATGGGGCCTAGCACCAACAACAACACAGCTGCTGCTGCTGCTGCTGCTGCTGCTGCTTGTGGAGAGGATTGTTGTTTATTTGTTACAATGTAGACTAATGGCTTTCCTTGCGTGTGGTTCGCTCCTTTTCCCAAGACTGGTAATCTATTATGTATCCTATCTTATCTTATTGGGAAATGCAGTTCTTAGATTCACTTTCTTACCATTCCCTTTGTTTATTGTTTCTGGAAATTGCCGTTTGAATTTGGCATTCATTTAGGCAGGAAGTTAGAGGAACATGATCCTCATCTCTTCTCTTAGTTTGATCAAGGCATTAATGTCGCCTAACGTAGTTCATTGGTTTAGATTCTTTTGAATTTTTCACTTCCCTTGTTGTGAACTGTCATATGGGGAGCACACATGAAATGAGAATTTCCCAGGTCAACTAATGTGTCTGTGTCTGTGTCTCTGTCTCGGTCTCTGTCATGTTGGTTTAGCTCATTGCTTCTTCATCTTCTTGCTCCATTAGATTCTCATCCAAAAGTTGTGTACATAGACCAGACCTTCAAAAGTCATTTTCAATGATATTTCACTTGAAAGCCGCCTGTGTAAATGTCCATCTCTGCAAAAGATTCTATCTGGGTCCTTATCAGTTTCAGAATTATATATATGTTCATCTTGATCTTGATCACAAGGAACTTGCCTCTCCCTAGCTAGTGATATTCGTACCTCCATTCGACTATTCCATACGAACACAAGGTCATATTGAAAGAAGTTCTTGCTCGTCTATTTGCTGAATTTAAGAGCAAGAACGTGTCTTTTAAGAAGAAAAATGTGAATGCATCCCGGTCTATTTCGAATTAAGAATCTTAAACTCTACGAAGATGGTGGAGGGAAGTTTGAAAGAAACATCTGTTTGTTTGAACAAGAACAGTGTCAACAAAGAAGTCGCAAATAAAGCCACTTTAGTTGCACAGATTTGTAGCTATCGAAGTTGCAATAAAAGGGCTGCCTGCCCTTCGCGGCTTATTTTGACGAGTTTTACTGACAGATTCTTGTTTGTACTTGACAGCAGGAAGGTCCCATCTTCTTCCCCGACACAATGATACATGTTTTTATTTTGGTCCACAACAATAACATCTGTTCTTCATTTAAGAACATGAACAAGAACCTCTTAAATTCCACAACATTTATTGCTCTCTTCATCCATGTTGGATGTGTAAAAATGAGCCCTTGAGAAAGCACAGAGCCATAATCAACGCTCAAAAACTAAATACTTTAACAAGATATCAGTAGCAGAAGAAACAAGTACAAAGAAAGATGATGCTCATTGAAATACTCATAATCAATCATCAAGGATGTTCTTGATTGACTACACCAAATTTCTCTATAACTTGGAATTGAATGAAGTGCAGTGAAATAACTTTTGTGGGGAATGTTGGGAATGGTACATGTGTATAGGATGATATTCTATATGAACTTATGGACACTCTGGAGGGTCGTTTGCAGCAGCAAATTCTGCAAGTTCCTTGATCTGGATTTCCCCTCTGTTTCGATACTACTCGCTTTACGGGGTGCGTTTATGAGGGCACGTTGAAGTGAAAGAGCCAAGATATAACAAATGCAAAAACCATACAAGCAAGTAGAAAGTTCAGAAACCGATGGCCACGCCAGAAGCTTGGGGTATCTGATGACGGGATCGATGCAGCAACTGCAGTCGTTGAGGAGGCGTTGTTGGATTCATTAGACTGCTCTGTTGACTCAACTTCATTTGGTCCCAGAATGTTTCGTGCAACGGAATGACAAATCTCACACGTCCTAATAAGATTTAAGAAGATTATGAATAAACAAAGTAGCCAAAGGAACAATGCAAATGCCTCGGTCCATTTTCGAGCATCAAACAGAAAGTAAAGAACGATCACACAACAATCACAAGGTGTAAACCTATCATAAAGACAGCAAATGCCAAACCATCAAGTCCCCCAATTCACCTTCAACAATCGTTGTTTATGTTCATCTGTGTAAGAACCCAAACTCACCACTAGTAGATATTATCCTCTTTGAACTTTCCCTCAAGGTTTTTAAAACGTGTCTACTAGACCCTTGTGTGGATCTCACAATCCACCCTCCTTGGAGACCCGGTGTCCTCGCTGACACTTATTCCTCTTTCCCTAAATGCATATCTTTTGATATTAGCTCATGAGAGTAAGGATCTGAAAGAGCTCACAGAGATTCCTAAGGCATCAGAAAAGGGAGAAGGAAGAAGGAATAATCAGTGTAACTTGCTTGGAGATAAGTAAACGTCTTTCTTATGTTTTACTCTTATTTCCTTTTGTGTCTCTAAGCTTTCCCTCTAAGTAAGCATCAAAATGGTAAGGTTTAAGTACCAAATTCACCAGAATATCACAGAAGATGCTTATCACAAGAACAGCAGCAAGAACATAATCTGAAAACATGAACTCAAAGAAGTATGAAGCATGACATGACATAGCATGAGTGAAGAATGATCAGAATTCATGGCAAAAAAACGTCAAAACTTGCTTATAGAAACAGGGATGTAACTCACTTATTGCCTTTGATTTTGAACCAGGTTTCAGCACAATGCTTGTGAGCCGCAGCCAGATCATCCTTGCAAGAACAACCCAATTCGATTGGGATTCCAGATTCTTGGCTATTACTCTCCAAACCCAGATGACAAATCCTGCAATCCCTCTCAACCTTACCTAAATGCACCTTAATTTCAGTAATCCCATTCTCATTTTCAACCTCGACGGAACGATCCGAAGCCGATGAAAGCCGCCGAGAATCCGAAACAACCACCCCAACCCCCGGCTGAGAAACGAAAGCAAACCTATACTCATCGTAAGAACCACCGTTAGTGGAATAAAACTGGGAATAACACGAACCCTCATCGGCGTCAGAGAAATAAACGCTACAATCGGCGCTCAACTCACTACCACTAACAGACCGCCGATGATCCCCTTGCTCCAAATCAATGTCGGACTGGGAAACTTGTGGAGGCGCCATTTTCGTAACCCACAAGCTAAAACTCTCACACAATCACTTCTACTAAACCCCACGCACATATCAGAGAACTAAAACACTCGAGGGCTCCAATGAATTCCTCCAATATTCACGAAGAAATTGGGGGTTTAAAGAAGTGGGTATTGGATTTGGTAACAACCCTTCAACTCCATTAATTAAAGCTCGCAATATAGAATTGGGAGCGCTTTAAAGAACGAAGAGGAAGTTAGAAAGGAATTCATGGTTCTGTTGGAATAAAACAATAACGTTGTTGGGCGGAAACAATGGTCCGGCAGACAGTGGTCTGAGCTAATGTTGGGCGCTTGAACGGAAGTAAGGAAAGAAGAACAGAAACGTGCAATGGGTGCGCAGAGAATTCAGAGGAAATTACAGAGATGAAAAAGAAAAGAGGTGGGGGTGGGGGGGACAACAAAAATTGAAAAAATTAAAAAAGAAAAAGAAAAAGAAAAAGAAAAAGTTTCTGGAAGATCTGATAGCTTAGCTACATTACATTACATTACACTCGAATCTATGTTCTTAGTTATGCAAATGCTTTCATGTTCATCAAACATGTTCATGGTGGGCGATGGATTAGAGAGTGACAAACTCACCCATTTCATTAAAATTTATAAATTCAAAGATTAAATCATTATATTTATAAAATTTTGTTGAATTGTTACAAATTTTAATGTGGAAAGAGATATTAATGATTAAAGTTGAGAAAATGGATGATAACTTAACGAGGAAGCTGCAAGTTCGATGTGGAAAGTAAAAAAAAAGGCTGTGTGTTATTATTTATTTAATTTTGTAACCCAACCCGAAGACAAAGGCGAAGCCAAAGGCAAAGGCAAAGCCAAAGGCAAAGGCAAAGCCGAGGGCTATTCTTCTCTGCTTTGCGGCCTCACCAAAACCCTTTCTTTTTCCTTTTTCTTCTCTTTATCTGATTCCATTCATCAAATCATTGACTGGGTCTCTCCCACGTGTCGCAATCACAGAAATATGGAGTCGAAAACTTATGATTCACATTTTGTCTAAAGTGTGAACAACCCTACACTATTATTGCATGAGGAATGTTTGAGTATCCCACAACCTACTACCCATATCATTCAAAATCCCTTCCATTGAATGTTGTGTGTCACGATCATTCTTGTCTAACACGTATTACCCATGGCTGCACGTTCTTTACATATCAAAACCCTTGTCTTGTATCACTCTATCGTTTCCCTTTACTGCTTTCATGATGTATAGGTGACCAGTTATCAACTCCTCCCATATAAATTTTGTACGACGTCTAGGTTTGCCATACATAAATCGCCTCAAAATGTACTATATGGGAATGTTGTGTGTCACGGTCATGCTTGTCTATGACATGTTGTCCATGGCTGCAAGTCCATTACATGCCAAAACCCTTGTTTTGTGTCACTTTATCGTTTTCCTTTACTGCTTTCATGATGTATAGATGACCCGTTGTCAACTCCTCCCATCTAAATTTTGTATGACGTCTAGGTCTACCACCTCAAAATGTACTATATAAAGATGCGATTAGTTGCCAAATTCTTCATACTCGAAAATTTATATGTTATTTAAGTCGTTGTGTTGCCTTTTGCTTGTAGTCATATAACATTGTTTCCAATCTTTCTCTCAATCTTGCTTGTAAACTCGATTCTCAAAATTTCTCTGCCCCTATTTTCTAAAATCTTCTTTCCATAATAGCGTTTGAGTATACATTGCCTCGTCGTAGGTGACTCGATCTTAAATTGGCTTGACTCACTCCGTGCTCGTAAAGAAAAATATGAGTGGTAAGCAGATAGAAGAATATTGTTGGATAACAATTCATTTTTAAACTATTATTTTATTTTTAGGGATTAATTAGAAATTAAATTAAAATTTTGAGATCTACGTTATTATTAAAATTTTAATAATGACAAAATATAATTTAAAATTTAAATTAAAAACCAAATAGAAAATTTGGAATTTAAGGAGAAAAATAGTAATTATAGAATTAGGTGGGCCGCTTATTCCGCAGGGCCCAAAACAAAGGTGGTCCACATTTTCAAACGTCGTGTGCACGCGACGTCTAGACAATTTTATTAATTAATTTATTTATTAATTATTAATTATTTTCACCCTTTTCCCTTGGAATAAGGAGCGATTATTCTATTCTTATTGCATATTAGGTTGTCAATTGTTGTAGAACAAAGAAGTTGACCCACTGTGGACCCCACTAATAACCAAATTATTTTTTTCTCATTTTTTAAAATTAATATAAATATATTTCACATATTTCGAAAATTTATTAATAAGACAAGTACATTTAATAATTTTTTCAAGATCAAATAATTATTATGTGATGCTTTTACATAATTTGTCGCTAACCTAATCTTCAATAACGAAATAATAATAATAATAATAATTATTATTATTTTGTTGGCTGACTAATTATTTTAATATAGTGTGGGGTTTTCTCATTTTAGATGGAAATTATTATATCACCTATGAAGTCCTGGTTCCTTTATTTTGCATTGGGCCTACCCAATTTAACTAAGCCCATATGATGGCCCAATTCTGCAACTTGTAGATTGTATGGGCCCGGCCCAATTCCATAAGCTCAATTATATAACGCGCAAGTTGAATCAATTGGGAACCGGTCAAAAATTCAGACATGTGGACTTTGATTTGGTCAAACTCTTAAAAATGTAGTTGACCTTGACCATTAATACAGAATCAATAAAGAACGACCGATTATTTTCTACAAAATACAGCTTTTTAACTTGTTTGACGAGAAATAAATTCTTGAAAATCATTTTTTAATGTAGTTTAAATACTTTAATAAATGACATATTTGTTTTTGTTAGGAATAATGTTCCTCGACAACGTAATTAAATACTTTAATAAATGTTATATACATTGTCCACCTTGAATATAAACGCTCGTTACTTAACTTTTGATTTCCACGAAATGACTCTATTGATTTACTTGTAAACTCATGATCTTCCCCTTAATTAGGGATTCATCTCCCAATAATCCTCAACAATTATCCTCCCAAACAAGGTACACCATATAACCTTTTCTGAGACCTATGGAGCCCTCAAGCCTTCAAACTTGAGTCACTTTTGAGCTAACAGTGGACTTCACTTTTGAGCTAACAATGGACTTCATTATTGGACTATGTGTTTGAGGATGTGACCAATGTAACATATCTTGACTGGTTGGTTTTTTAGATCGAAGTGTGTGGAAACGTCTTACTAGTAGACATACAACAATAGGTGCTAACGGTGTGTTTGGGCGGGTATTTGGTGAAGAAGAAGACAATAAGGTAATAATAATGCTTTTATTAAGTAAGGAGAGATATAGAGTAAAACTAAGTGTGTGTGTGTGGGAATATTGAAAAGCAGAACAAAGGAAAAAGAGGTATACAAGATAATGGTATGGAAAGTAAATGTGAAATCCAAAGAAAATCACCCATCCTTTTCCTCACAGCCATTCATTACTATTTTCTATTTATTTCCTCTCAGCTGTTGTACGAAAATCACAATGAAGATACAATCAATCAATCAATCACCAACCAAACAATAAATCTAAATCAACGTCGTCTTCACATCGGAGCTGGGGCATCAGCTGTGGGGAAGAATCCAGGGGTATTCACCGATGACACTGGACCGCCAGCAGCAGCACCAGAGCTCAGCAGCTCTGCCATGGCACGATGGGGGTTTGTGCGTTGTTTGATGCAAAGGTCGGGCAAGAACACTCCTGCAATGACATGAATTGAATAGGCAATTAGATTGGGAATTTCGTTGTGAAGTTAAGAGATTGGGAATTTTGGGTTATGGGTTACCCTCTCCTGCGGCCATGTTGAAGTAAAGGTCAACAATGTTGGGGCATTTCTGGTAGCAGGCAGGGGAGCAAAGCTTGGCCGTGAAGTGTGGCTCGAGGAGTGCATCGGAGGCAATTCCGACCGAGTTCCGATCCACCCCACAAGCCTTGATGCATATATCCGTCTCTATGAACTCCGCCATCCATTCCACTATCACCTCAGACGTTCTGCATTGATATTCAATCTTCCCATCTTTCGTCTCTGCCGTCTCCAACAAACATCTCTTCCCCGATGAAGCAATTGAAAATGCGCACACATCCACCGACAATTCCTCGCAAACAAGCTCCCCTGCACCACAACAAACATCGTCAAACCAAACCAAACCAAACCCATATACAAAGTGGGTTAGATGGCTACGTACCAAGCGCGGCAGAGACGAAAAGGGAGGAGAGGAAGAGAAGGCAAGGCAATTTGTTGGAGATAGCCATGGGAAGCTGTTTTATGGGTAAGAAGAAAATGGGGCGAGGAATTGAAAGAAACGAGAGGAAATTGGTGGTGGATTAGAGATGGAAGAGGTGTTTGTGGAGTAATATATGAAGAGAAGTTGAGAGAAAAGGGGAGAGATTGAGGCTCTTGTTCTTGCAATCCAACAATATAAAGCCTATAAATAGAGACCCAATTCAGACACCCTTGCCGGCTTCTCAACGGAGCTTCGGCTGCAGCTGATGCACTCTAAGCCTAGATTAAAAGGACACGTTTTGGAACTCAATTTTGTTGGTTGACGCCTAACAGAGCCGTGTATTTTGGGTATGTACCAAGTCGCCACCTCTTTCCTTTCCTATTCAACAAGCATCTTGTGTGTGGGATTTCAGTTTCATATTCTTTTCTTCCCATCCAAAACACAATTAACAAAGAGTTAAAAAGCGGGTGTAACTATAATGATCCTAACGTACTCAAATTTCTTGTCGGGTAAGTTTCGACCCGCACGAAAAACGTAACGATCTGGGCACTGTCTCTGAGAGAGACTCGATAAAATAGACATGTCTATAAAGATGTGGACTACCTGCACCTGGACAGAAAAACCTTATGAAGCTTCACTGTTCCCTGTCATTAGCTTTGGGCATTTCCTGCGCAGATACGAACCTCCACAATAATATGATACTTTCTATACAAGTGGTGAGAGGTTTAGTTTGACTTCCATTTTAAAGATATTTATTCATTTATTTTCAAATAAAAATTATAAGTTCTTTATAATAAATATAAGCTTTTTCTTTAACCTACAAACTAGACTTTGCTATACCAAATACTAAATCCAACGTCATTTTTTTTTTCCAACTATTTTGACTTTAAATGTAATTGAAATTTAACGCTAAAACATTTTCTTGCAATTTAAATTCAACATAGCACCAAAATTTTCAAGGAATATATTTGTTAACCATTATATTATTATTATTATTATTATTATTATTATTATTTTAATTTAATAATTGTGGAGAAGGGATTGAACTTTAAAAGGGAATTTTCATCCCTTATGATTAAAGTTATGCTCATAAATAACAAATACTTAATAATAATATTGTTGAGAATATTTGATAACTTTGTTTATTCTTTTATAGAAATAAATAGCGTTACCGTTTAATATACTTTCAATAATAATATATTTGTTGGTTTAATTGTCATAATCAATTAAGTTATAGTATAATCAAGTTTTAATTTAAATCATTTTTGCATTAAAATGGAAATAAGATATTAGATTACGAAAAATGAAAAAGGGCGTCAAATAATTGGTATAAAGAAAA